TTTCAACAACGGTGGTCATACAAACAAAACAAGTCAGTGAGATACTAAATAGGAAATACTCATAGTGTAGAGCGGATGTAGATTTGACCAATCAGAGGCCTCCTGTCTGTGGTCACCTACAATTTTGGAAAGTTGCCCCAGACTGTGTGCGGAAGGGGTGTGGGCATATTTGCGTTCAATGCGACACATGCAGACGACCTGATTTCTGAGTATAAATCAGCCTTAGTGCATCAGAGATCATGACAACTCGCTGGTGGTCTGGCCCAGAGTTTCTGTGGGAGCAAGAGTTTTCCCACTCAGCCGAGCCCTCAGCTGAGCTGCTGGTAGGAGACCCAGAAGTTAAGGCAGCCTTTACATCTCAAAAAAGCCAACAAGACATCATCCGCAGTCGCTTTGAAAGGTTTTCTAGCTGGTCAATGCTTCTTAAAGTGGCTGCGAGAATAAAAAGTCTGACAAACAAAACCCAACATGGCAATGTTGTAACCGCTCATGAACGCAAGGAGGCTACTTACACAGTAATAAACCTCCTCCAGCAGCAGCTTTTTCCTCAAGAGCTTGTTGAAGGCAAAGGAAAGCCTCCTACGCTCTAGTCCCCTCTTTCAACTGGATCCCATTGTGGGATCAGGGACCTCTTCGAGTTTGGTAGAAGATTAAAGAAATCAACACTGCCAGGATTTTAAACATATTATTCTCCCAAAGGACCATCTCATTAAAACGTTGATCTTAACTCACTTTCATTGAAAGATTTGCCATCAAGGCCAAAACCAGACACTCATGGAGGTGGAATACAGAGGAACGACACATGGCTGAGCTACCAAAGGAATGAGTTGAAGTCTCGGATCCTTACATCTACTCTGGAATGGACGTTTTGCAGCATTAACCACCAAACAAGACTACAAAGAGCAAAAAAAGCTATGGACTCCTCTTTACTTCCCTCTCTTAACGTGCAGTTCACATCAAAATCTCTCTACAGACTCTTTCATTAAGGTCAACGACTAATAAGTTTTCTGCCGCTCGTTTTGTTTTTTTGTGGGGCTCAAACAGGATCACTTTTTTTTTTAGGTTTTTATGGTACTAGTGGCTTGTTTTTTGCTTCACTCTCAATGAAACCTGTTATTGCAGATGACAGTGTGTGACCCTCTTGGCAAAAATGTGTAGTCATTAGAGGTGACAAGTACTGCATCTTTCATTTTAACTCTCTTGCTTATTTTAGTGGAATGATTGGAAACATTCTCACCTCAAGGTTGTCTGATGTTCCCGAATCCATAAACAGAGAGCCTCTGGAGTCCTCTCTCCTCACCGCCTGACCATTCAGAGCCGAAAGACCTGAGCAGCACAGAGAGATGATTGCAGCTGAAATAATGCATAACGCTGGCTGGTAAACAATCTACAGCATCAATCAGGAGGCCAATGATTTTACTCAGAACTGTCAGCTTACAGCTCTCAGGGGATATCGCAGAGCTTTTGAATTGGTTTGTTGTTATTTTAACAATAGGCTGGACTCTTATAATATAAATATGGAAACTATGTTTCTTTTTACTTAATCAACAGGTACATCAGCATTTTGCCTAATGAACCGTCATCAAAGGAATCTAATATACCGACTTAAAGATAACATTTGGCTGTGCCTTTCATGTTTGTACATTGTGTGTTGCCTTTTGATATGTATTTGGTATCCCACCCCCACCTCCTCTGGTACCACTTTGATCTCAGCACCATCATGCCACTGCTGGGTGATGTAAACATCCAGAGGTCTATAACATAATAGATGAATCCTGTCTGGGAAAGTGATATATATGTTTAGCAACACATGCCATGTAGAAAATGATCAGTAATGTAGCGAAACACACTTGTCTGGCGGCCAGCTGTGGCTTTCACAGTGAGTGCTGCTAATGGATGGAGTTGTGTATGTTACGTAAACATAGCTGTGGTGCTGTGGGTCTGTGCGGTGATGACACTGGGCAATCTGTAAACAGGAAGAGGTCAGATGGTCAATGTTCTGTGGAGCAGCTTCGGTTTTGCGACTCACCGTGGTCTTTATCAATGGCAGTGCTGATTCTCCTGCTGTCAGTGGAGGCCGATGATATCAGGTCGTCTCGGGAGCCCTGCCACACAACAGAAGGAGATTCAGATGATACCAAGTCACTCCACATTAACTTGACTTAACTGGAATTTATCTATTTATTTCTAATACAACAGACATTCTGATCGCATCTTTTATCGTGTCTCACTTAGAAGCTCGTGGACCTTGTTGCTTTTCATAAAGTTGCAATCAAAATGATTCATTCTCCAATCAATTCTGTTTATTATTATTATTATTATTAGCAAAATTCCAAATTGTAAATTAAATTTGGGATTTTGTTTTGGAACTTTCAAGCTTCTATGGAAGGAAAATTGAACCCCTTGTAAGAATAGACAATAAACATTCAATAATGTATTAAGTGACTCTGTGATGCACAAAGAATGCTTTAAAAATGATGGATGGAGTGGAGAATCTGAAACTAAACTAAATTAGAAACTAAATTGGAAACTAAATTGATATTAATAAAACAAAAAATCTTTTTTTTAACAGAAAAACTGAATTTAACATCTTCATCACAATGAAAAAAAAAACAATCGGCAGACATTTATCGAAAATATAAATTGTCCTTTTTTAAAAGGTAAATTTAAATTATTCGAAAAATTTTGCACAGCCACTAAATCATACTTGCAGCAGATTAAAACAACAAAAAAAGGAAGAATTATGTTTTTTGTCCTCATCTACATGTTTGCAAATAGTATCCCTCTATCATAACAGCGTTGCCTTCCAATGGCTGCAGTCTTAGGGACCTGTCCCCCCATGTAGGTTATGTTTCTTGGCTGGGTTGTTGTGCTCTGCATAATAAAAAATAAAGGCATTCTGATCCTGGCTTTAAAGGGGTCATAGAATGATTCTATAGGGTATTTGATGATGGTCCTAAAGGTCTCTGAAGAGGGTGTGTAACATTGGTTGGGCTGAAAGTGGCATATTTGCTGTTCTATGCTCCCTAATTCCAGCCTGGTTAAAAGCCCTGGAATTAAACCACAGTTTTTTTTCCTTTTATGGTATGCTCATGAATATTTAGATGAGCTGTGATCTGATTGGTTGGTTTACAATGAGCGAAG